GGTGCAGTGCTGAAGTGTTAGCAGAATAAGCGTTTTGATGTGCAGAATAAGGTCTTAAGGGGTGTTATCATACTAGACCTACCCTATATATATATATATATATATATATATATATATATATATATATATATATAAGTTTACAGAGGGAGCTAGTACTACTCTATGATACTATATATGCATTATGAAGGTACGTATGTAGTATCATACACTAGTATCATATGCATGATACTATATATATAGTATATGATACTCCCACTATATAAGGCTGGCCATAGTGGTGGTATCATAGCCGACGATATCATTCACTCGGAAATAGCAAGTATGCTGATGTGGCAAAGAATTAAATATATATAAAGAGGGTTAGAGTAACATTTAGTAGGTAGATACCATATCATGTTAAATGCGATGTTAATTTGTGTCATGCATGGCAATAAATATGATCTATATATGATACTATACTCTATGTATTATACTATGCGCTATAATTAATTAAATGTAGTATCATACACCAGTATCATATGTATTGTATATTCATGATACTAGTATATGACACTCTCCACTATACTCATGATTTCTTATCGTGGAAAAAAATTGGAGGTGAAACGATGAACTCATGTTTTCATTCAAACAAAAATATGATGTTAGGTAATGTAAATGTTTTCAAAGAGCACATGGTTCACTCACGAAAGCCGTGTGTATAAACCGTGGTTGATGCACCCCCCCACCCCTCTGCCATGCGTGCGATCTGAGTCGTGCGTTCTGATTGGCCAGAACCCAAACCCTACGGATCGTACATCTGCATGGTTGGATTCTCCTTGATCGAATGGCGATCCTAATCCCTTTCGACAACACATGTACATGTTTTCAAATAGCCCCTCCCAAAAAAATTGTATTCAAATAGCACACGGTTCACACACGAAAGCCGTGTGCCTACCAAACCGTGGCTGATGCCCCCCTTGCTGCGCGCGCGATCTGAGTCGTGCGTTCTGATTGGCCATAACCCAAACCCCACGGATCGTACATCTGCACCGTTGGATGCTCCCAGATCGAACGGCAATCCTCATCCCTTTCGACAGGAAATGCAGTCTGGCTAGGAATTGATTTATATGCCAACATGCACGGTAAATGCCAAAAAATGTCTTACATATAGCACACGAGACCTGAAATGCGTCAGCAAATCAAACCCGTCGTAAAATTGTGATTGGTTTACGTGCGAAAAATTTACAGGTGAAACGATGAACTCACATCTTCATATCAAAATTAGTACGTATTCATTTCAAACGAAATTATTCTGTTTGTGCACACGAGTGCTTAGAGGCAACCATTTGCATAGGCCTTTCCGCGCGCGTGGCGATCGGTGTCGGTGTCAAAACCGGCGGATCTCGGGTAGGGGGTCCCGATCTGTGCGTCTTAGGCTGATGGTAACAGGAAGCAAGGGACACAATGTTTACCCAGGCTCAGGCCCTCTTGATGGAGGTAAAATCCTACTTTCTGCTTGATTAATATTGAAGATATGTGTAGTACAAGAGTAGATCTACCACGAGATCGTAGAGGCTAAACCCTAGGAGCTAGCCTATGATGGTATGATTGTAATTGTGATCGGTCCTTCTAAGGACCATCCTCTCCGGTTTATATAGACACCGGAGAGCTAGGGTTTACATGGAGTCGGTTACAAGGAAGGAAATATAATATCCGGATCGCCAAGCTTGTCTTCTACGCAAAGGAGAGTCCCATCCGGACATGAGCCGAAGTCTTGAGTCTTGTATCTTGACGCTTCTATAGTCCGGACGATGTACAGTCCGGCTATCCGGATACCCCCTTATCCAGGACTCCCTCAGTAGCCCCTGAACCAGGCTTCAATGACGATGAGTCCGGCACGCAGTCTTGTCTTCGGATTGCAACGCGGGTTCCTTCTCCGAATACTCCAAGGTTATTATCGAACACGTAGGGCGTGTACGGATCTGTAAAATGATCTTCACATACCACCGTAGAGAGAATGATACTTCAGCTGAAAAAAAAATTTAGACGACGCGATACACCATTACGGTCAGGTCATTATCCGAGCCGTTTTCCCACGCACAGCCCCAGCGTATATTGCGAGGCGGTTTCCTTAGCACGTCTTGTCGAAGCGAAGATCATGTCCCCTTATCATGGGATTCTCATCAATACGGGTATGGGTAATCCAACCGTACCGCTAATCGCGGCGAGTGGGAGGTGAGCGGGTTCTACCAGGAAAAGTGTGGAGGCGCGAGAAGTTCTCATCTTCCCTTATAAAGAGACAAGGTCTCTTCCTCTTTTACCCACGCCTTCTCCTTCCGCTAACTCATTCCCCTCTGCTCGAGCCCTAACGCCCAAGCGCTCTTCTTCTCCATCGAAGAGAGGTTTTCCAAAGATGTCCGGATCCGGAGCAGGAGGCAAATGGATGGCCTCTACCGTCCGGGAGAAGGATATCAAGAGGCTCTGGGAAGTCGGGTATCTAGCCAAGAAGATTGGCCACCGTCTCCCACCAGCGGGACAGGTTGTCCCTACTCCGGAGCCTAACGAGAGAGTCGTGTTCCTTCCCCATTTTGTCCGTGGGCTTGGGTTTCCCCTCCACCCATTTGTACGTGGAGTCATGTATTACTATGGGGTTGATTTTCATGATCTTTCCCCCAACTCTTTTCTCAATATCTCGACGTTCATCGTCGCATGCGAGGCCTTCCTCCGGATTCCGTCTCACTTCGGCCTGTGGCTGAAGATTTTCAATGTGAAGCCCAAGGTGCTGAGTGGCGAACACGCCGAGTGCGGCAGCGCCATGGTGAGCAAGATGCCCAAGGTAGTTTGGCCGAAGGGCACCTTCAATGACTCCGTCAAGGAGTGGCAGCAGCAGTGGTTTTATATCACCGAACCACGCGGCGAAAAGTGGGCTGCAGCTCCTGAGTTTAGATCCGAAGCTCCACTGCGGATCACGTCCTGGCCCAAGAAGGGCTCGAACTGGTGCTCGTCTGATGAGCTGTCGTTGCTCCAGACGCGCGTTCAGAGTATGGTTAACAAGGACGTCAAAATTGTTGACGTGGTCCAGGCGATGCTAGTTCGCCTGGTTCTCCCTTGCCAGCGTCGAGCCTGCACTTTGTGAGAGTTCGACCCACCCAAGCACCAAACCCTCCGGAGCTCTAAGATTCCTCCCACGAGGATATCTGGAAGGTGCTCTTCAAGTCCGGCAAATGGCCGGATTCCACCGAGGATCGGGGGTATCAATTATCCCATTCTCCAAGCCCAATAAGTTACAGCCACGCCCTGTCCATCC